AAAGTAACAGTTTCCATTTAAGAGCTATAAATAGGAACTTTGAAGAGAAACTTCTATTTTTTAATTGCTATGTAGATATGTTATTAACATTTTATTTACTATCATTTGAAGAGGCAGAGAACACTCTGAGGAAGTGCAATTTGTATCATGATTTAAAGACACCAGATTAGATTTCTTTATTCCTTCCCCTCTCCATTTACCACTTTTCTTCTTTCCAAAATTGTACATTTTTTTTCACTCCTTTGGTTCTACCAACTCAGTTCTTTCTGTCACCAGAAGGCTGTGCTTGTAATCTGAAAATTAAACTGGGGGGAGGTAACCAGCTCAACTTCCTGCTCTACCTCCTACACATTTCCTCTGTTCTCTCCCATCTCACCCTACCCCCACTCCCTGGGGCTCAGAGATTGAGGTAGATAACCTTCCACTTTGAGTTACTGATCCCATCCCTTCTTTGGGGATCTTGCTTACTGATAACCTAATCTCTCATCTCTCTTCACATTATTTTTGCATAGAAGTGCTTTCTCTTACATTTTGTAAGATGTTCCAGTCTTCCTCATCTTAAAAATCACCCTCAAAATCCTATGTCTTCTTCTAAATGCCTTACAGAGCTCTTCTCTACTTCGTTTCATGGCTCTTATTTTGAGTGAATGGGCTGCATTCACTTACTTGGCTTCCCTGCCTTGCCTTCACTATGAACCCCTTATAATCTGGCTTCTGCTCCTACCACTCCCCTGAAACTGTTCATTTTACTGATATCAGTGCTATAATTGCCACATCCAGTAGAAACTTCTTCCTATAGCATTCTAATCTCTCCTTTGTAAGTTCCACTTTTAGAGATGTTTCCTCCTCTGCCTCCACGGTCTGCTGCTCTCTTCCTAGGTTTTCTGCACTTAGCTGCTCCTTTTCAGTCTTTTCCAAGTGCTTTTCTTTGGCAGCCCAACCCAAATATTCTGCACAGTTCTTTCTCAAACTTCAAACTCTGCACTCTCCCTGGATATTTCCATCCCCATCTGTGGTTTCTGCTACTATCTCTACATCATTGGTAGCTGAATTTCTATATCCAGGTATCTCTCCTGAGTTTCAGAAGTACCCCTTTCTACTTGAATTCACCCACCCTCCGAATCTCAAACTCAACGCACCTCGAGCTGAACTTATTTTTTCTCTCATTACCCAGCTCTTCCTCTTCTATTTTCTTTTTCACATTTTGTATCCCAGATCATTGTGGTGATGTGTTGTTGGGAAAATAGAATGGTTTGGTCAGGGCCCTCGCCTTGGGTCCAGTTGGGTGTGGTTCAGCATTCTTTGTAAGCAAATTGTGTGTGTGTGTGTGTGTGTGTGTGTGTGGAGTTAGTGTGCATGCGTGCCACTGTGTCTTTTTAGTTTTGTTGCTATTCTTGTGTTCTTTAGAGAGAGAGAGAGATGGAGAGTTTAGTGAAGCAGGCAGGTGGGCATCTGCCTCAGGCGTCCACCCTGCGTGGCCATGCTTTCCAACCTTTTGGCTGGTTACCTAGGATCTTTTTGGCTGGTTACCTAGCTCATAGACCTGCATGTAAGGGGACTGGTGACCCAGCCTGGTGTGTGTGGGGTCTGGTGACCCAGTCTGGTGTATGGAGGGTTTGTGACCCAGTCTGTGAGTGGGCTTGAGGGGTCTGGGAGCTCCAGATCCAGCCCTAGCTCAACAATCGGCCCAGTCAGCAGGATTACTGGCAGGTAAAAGAGACCAACAACTGGCGTGGTCATGGAGCTAGACAATTGGTGTCATGAACAGGATTAAGAGCACTACAACTGGCAATGTCAACAGGATTCCAGACAGTAGCTGTAGCCCCACATATGTGTTCCATGTAATGCTCTCCATAGAGCTTTCACTGCAGTGGAGGTTCTTCATAATTAGGTGGACAAAATGACATACTCTGTTTATGTCAGTTTCTTTTTCCAGCCGTCCCAGGGCTCGCTCAATGAGCTTATGAAAAAGGTGGTTATGGTGACGGGTGGAGAATATGTATGGACTCACTAACTTGGACTTCACCTTACCAATGCTGACTGAGCTAACACTATAGATAAGTACCCAATCTGCCAAAAGCAAAGAGCTGTACTGAAACTCAGCCACCAACTGGGTTAGTGCTTTGTGGCAGTCTTCTGTGGCTGCTGTCTGGAATCCTGCTCACATTGCCAATTGTAGTACTCTTAATCCTGTTCCTGATGCCAATTGTAAACCTAGGTGACCACACTAGTTGTCGGGCTCTTTTACCTGCCGGTAATCCTGCTGACTGGGCTGATTGTTGAGCTAAGGCTGGGTCTGGAGCTCCCACACCCCTCAAGCCCACTCATAGACTGGGTCACAA